TTTGTATCTTGTTATTCAATACACTTGTACAAAGGCCAAATCGTCACTGTATCAGTGAGAGTTCTCATTGTGTAACAATTATAAATAAATATGTGATGATAAAAATTTTACGTCAAATATTAATAGAAGAAACGTATTATACACAGAAATTTATTAAACAGTGTCATCTGTCAATGTTATTGTATCTGTGATTATTATATAGTAGACTATTCCCTGTTATTTTATTTAAAAGTAGCAATTTTTTATCATCAGTCATCTGATAAATTAGTAATTTCTTTATTTTATGATTTTGAAAATGGTGTATAACAAGTTATTTGTAAGAACTTATAAAATATTTTTATACGTTTTAATTGTATTATGAAAACGGAAGAAACATTGAAAATTTGTAATTAAGTTATATATTTCTGGTAATAATATATACTTTAGATAGCAAATGTTCATAGTAGATAAAATATTGTAATAAAATTCTTATAATCAGTAGATTATAAAAGATAATTGTTATATATGGTTTTAAAAATCGAAATAAATTGTAATTTATTACGATAGGCTGTGTTATCAAAATTATTGCAGATTTAATTATATAACTTTAGCTAAAATAAAGAAAATTGGATATTTTTTTACGTTTATATCTTTTAATCGATATAATTAAAGTGAAATGTTATAATCAATTTATGATATAAGTGTATATATAAACTATTTTTTATTTTTATGTTTATATTTTTTATAAAACATAATGTAAGTTATTTGTAAAATTGTTTGCCCCCAAAAATGAAAATTATGCATTTATTATCTATAGAAATATTTTCTTTTTACATTTTTGTATTCAGCGAAATGCGAGATATACAAGTAACGTAATATTTAAATACTTACAATAGTATTTAAATGTACTTACAATATTCACAATTCAGGGAAAGGGCGAGGAATGCACGCAATATCATTCATTATAGCCTGTATGTATGTCGCAGCTTTGTAAAAACCATTTTCTCTCTGTTTCTTATATCACAAATAGTGGATATGAATGATAAAAGTATAATGATATTATAAATACAATTATCGATAGTGTTATGCTAAGAATACTACAAAAAATATAAAGAAAAATATCAAGACTGCAAATATCTTTATCATTAGCCACCTATTACTTGTCACAGACTGAAAGTATTTCAGTATTTCGGTGTGTGCAGCTTCTACATTTAGCTCGGTATCTTCTATATTACTATCTATCCTGAAAATCAATTATATTTAAAGATTAATAATTTATACTTGCGAAATATTTTGACAAATTAAAATGATTTTTTTGTTTTCAAGACAATTGCTTTTATTTCTTTTACATTCATTACATCATTTCCTCTTACCTTTCAACCATTTCTTCTTGTTCTTTAACCATATGCGCCAATTGTTGGAAAATACCCCCTAACTCAACTATAGTAGATTCTATATTTTGCATAGTTTCGGCTCTCGATTGCACGTATGCATCCTTGAAAAAATAGATATATATGTATTCCTATTATATTGCATTTAATTACTTCACACTCTTGCCACTATTACTTACAGTATCATCTTGTATAATTTGTTGTAACTGCTGATTCATCACAGGTTCAAGATCTATCGCAACTGAATTACTAGAAATTTCTTCTTGTAGTAATAAGGAACCTTGTTTCCCAGAAACAACACTCGGAGGAAGCATAGTGGACAGAGATCCTTGAGTGAACTGCTGTCTCCTGCTTTGTTCCTCTCTCATATTCTGCATCAAATAATTTATTTCTTAATGTTTTAAAGTTATTATTTAATTATTATTTCTTAATTTTCCATAACATTTGTAAACATATATTCTTTTTGGTAATATAAATTAAATTTATTGTTATTCATAATATCGCCAACAAAAAAAAATATTAAAGAAAATATGTAATTTATATCATAGAATATATATGCTATTTTTACCAAAGTAAAAGTACAGAAATTAATCCCAATTTGAAATCATTGATCCCAAACTGAAATATTCTATGACGATAACCAACTTTGATATAAGAAAAAAATGTTTATTTTGAGTTACATACCTCAGAACGAACTTCCAAGACACTTTTGAAATGATTAGACATATTAGCTAGCTTTGATTGCAATGTCATCACAATTGAGGAAGAATGAGAAGCAATGTGATGACTCTGAGAGGAACCAAAGCTTTCTCTCTGCGACTTTCCAAGCTCTTGTAGTTTTCCGATTTGAAGATTTAAGCTTTTTAGATCCGTTTTTATAATATTTGTAAGCTCTTCGATCTCCATTTGTCTGTCATTAAATATGGATTTTTTCTTAGCCACTGTAACATAAAATATTAGTTATTACAGAACATTAAAAATTTTATTTAGTTTGCTATCATTTCAGTACGTTCCAATTATTTTTATTCTGTTATGTGTGCCATACAATCTTATAAAGTAGCAATAAAAGTTGACAATAACTGCCATAATCTTAACGTTTCTAACAAAAACTATTCTGTATCTTTTCCACAATTTAAGGATCTGTATATTGACTTTCATATAAATCTATACACAAGTCTCAAAAAATAAACAATCTCTTTTGCACAACAAAGGTACAGTTCTATTATTTGCAATGTTCTACTTGAATGCAACATATTGTAATCGTCTGAGCTATGCTCAGCTGAGCTCTTACACAAGGCAAGTTTCTCCAGCTTGATATATGTGCCAGCAATGTTCCTGCTAATGTTCTTAGCTATCATCATAAAGTTCGAGTAGCTCTGTATCTGGCGTGCGCGACGCGGATTTTGCAGATTCGCTGTGGTCCGCGCTACGGTTCTGCTCTGCATGGAGCGAATCGCGTTGGCGAACTCATTGGTCCTGTCGCGGGATGTCATCGTCGTCGTCGTCGTCGTCGTCGTCGTTGTCGTCGTCGTCGTCGTCGGCTGTTGCTCACTTGGATCCAAGTCGACAGTCTCCTCACTCAACAGTCTGCTGCTCGCTTCGTCTCCATCGTAATAGTGCCGCGAGCTGCCCGAGCTCGCAAGGTCGCGATTCACCACGGGCCCTACAACATGACGTCTGCGTGCTGACATCGCAGCATCCTCTCAGCTTTCTCCACGTGCGCGCGTGTCCCGAGGGCTTCGACCACCACCGAGTCCGATAACGTCAACAGATTGCAGCGGTGGCGGCAACGGTGGCGACGACGGCAGCGGACACGTCCGCATGACATCCACATATGACAGTCTCCGCTGACAAGTCTGTTCACATACGCAATACGCATGCGTACGCGCATATATGTGCGAATACGCGCGCGTCTACAATTGGATCATAGAAGTACTATGAACTGTCACGTGCGGCAAGTTTAAAGCCGCGTGGCGCGCCATTTTTCTCATGGACGGAAGTATGCGCGACTTTTGAACGAAGGAGTCTATTCGCAGTGGACTAGAATCGATTCTAGCCGGCCAAAAGTCGAAAAAAATGAATTGTTTCATCTTTTGTCGCATATGATTAAATTAGCTTTTAGTAAAAATATGTAGTACAAACATTTTTTTAAAATCTTTGAAAATACTTGAAATAATTATAGGATCAAATTTCCGCTACGTTATAATATAGCAAATAGTTCTTATAAATATGCTTAAAATAAAATTTAGTTTCTATTATATTAGCTAATTTAATCGTTTACAATAAAAAAATACAATTCATTTTTTCGACTTTTAGTCAATTAAAATCAATTCTGTCCCATTTTGTGTTGTTTCGTTGATTCTATACGTTTTATATCTGATGAATAAAAATGCAGCAAGTTCTATTAATATTTATAAAAAAAAATAAAATAAAATAAAATCAAGAGAAAATTATTTAAAATTTAATCATAATTCCAACTTCAGCTTTGGGATAAAAATTAGATTTAAAAGATAAAATAGTAATCATTGCGTGATTTAAAAGTAAAAAGATGAAATACATAAAATTCTCGAAAATTATTACTAGTATTATAAGCATAATGGTAATAGAAAATATCAATATCTTTTATTCTGTGTTATATCGCTATTTACTCGTTAAAAAAACAAGAAAATTTCGTTAAATTATTTAAAATTTAAAAAAATAGACGGATTTTAAATATTATATAATATAGAAGCAAAAAACATTTTCCCCAAATTGTTACAATAGTAATATCGGCGTGTTCAAGCTGGAAAAAGCTGCTAGTCTGCTTACCGAGCGATTGAACATGATTGGTTGAATCTTTAAATATCAACCAATCATGTTTATTTGCTTCGCGGGCAGGTTTGTTTTATCAATTTGAATGCAACCATTATTATGCGCGGGCAATTGATTGAAAAAATTAAAGCGGAAAACACAGACTTTTACATAACGCATAAAACATGAAGAAAATCAACCAATCAGAGTTCTTTATTTCACGGAAAGAAAGGAAATAAAGCACTTTGATTGGTTTATTTTCTTATGCCTTATATGTTATGCATTATGCAAGAGTCTGTGCTCCACGCTTAATGGTCGCAGCACAGACTCTTGCATAACACATAATGCATAGTGCATAAGGGAATCATCCAATCAAAATTCTTCTTTTCCGTGAAATAGGAGGAAAGGAAAGAATTTGATTGGTTGATTCGCTTATGCACTATGCGTTATGTAAGAGTCTGTGCTGCAGCCGTCACAATGTTTGATTTTTATCTGTTTCTCTTGATAGAAAACTTGGAAAACTTGAGAGAAAACTTGGAAAAATTTATTTATACGGTAGCATTTATGTGAATTGCATTTATTGAAACATTTAATATATATTTAGGCTGAACTTAAATCTAATTTGGACTTTTATTAAGTGTTATCTTAAGACCTTAAATATCGGATATCAAAATTATTAGGATGAAATAATTAAATCGTAAATTTATGTAAACTACATTACATATCCAGTAAGAAATGACAATGGAATCGACGTCGAATTAGATGATTTCAACATCGAATCAACATCGATTTATTGATGTCGATTCCATTTCTGACTGGGGTATAGTCGTGTTGTCGGAATATAATTTACTACTATTTTATTGCATCAACTTTTTTCTGATCAGCTTACAGCACGACTTACAATCCATAAGAAATACATCTGTATGTCTATATGTATTACAATACGACTTACAATCTATAAGAAATACATCTGTATATATGTATATGCGTATGGAAATAGCATGTATGAAGATAGCACTACAGGAACGAACATTTTTCTTTCTATAAAATTATAAAAAATCGCAACATTCCACAGTAAACATCTCAAACTTTTTCTCCGTAAAAATAGTTTATGAATATTTACCTGCGTGGATATTTGATTATATAATTGTATATGCCTTGAAAAATTGATGTTTTTCAGCATTAAAGATATCAATAGCTGCGTTAAAGAGCAACTTTGCAACTGTTGTAAAATTCTTTAATATATATTTGCCTTTAGTTCCTTACTGAATCTAAATATATCTACCTTTAAACCAATCATATTAAGAATCTTACAACAGTTACAAAACTGTTTTTGCTGCTTGAACGTAGTCATTGTCAAGGAAACTGGAAGAGCTGGAATAGCTGGATATATGCACAGGAAATTACAGATTTATTAAATATCAATTTCGTGTAATCTTTTACAGGATAAAAGTCTCTGTGTTCGCGTTCTATAAATATATATATATAAAATATGTTAATGTGATACATTAGTAATTTACTTCATATTCGTATTTGATCATGTAAAACGTGACCAACGTTGGATCAACTGGACTGGAGTAAATATTCCACTTGGCGGACGATGGAGTGGTATAATTAGTTATTACAAAATGGCCTTGCATATATGTATATGTATATATATCAATATATCAGCCAGTAAACCGACATGATATGTGACGAAGCATGTGGCTCCAGCGCTTTCACCTTTTTTGCTCGACATTCGTGTAAGATAGAACGAGATACGCGAGAATTATATGTAGAAAATATATATTGATTACTAAATATTAATTATTAATTATCGCACACCAGTTTCATTTTTACTAATTTATAAAATATACAAAAATCTTTAACGCCTTTTTGTCAGAAATGTCAGATACATATGTATGGAATATAAATTAGAAGAGGTCCAAGTAATTAATTTTTGAAAAATGCGAGAGATTACATAATACTTTATTTCTATATCAATCACTGATGCACTGGTGTCTCTTAAGCGTATTTCATAATATATATGCATAAAATTCAACTGTTCAGAATATAAAATATTCAGTTGAAAAACGTAAACGCATTTTATTAGTGAGCTTTAAATCTCATCTATTTTAATTCCACGTTTAACCAAGAGTTTTAATTTGATTCGAAAGCTTTTAATCGATTAATTAACTTTAAATAAATTCTCGCAATTAATTGAAACCAATTAGCCCCCTCTGTTCTCAACTTGCATTATCTACGTTTATAAATATTCCAGCTTATTCTTTTCAACGACGACCATCTTTTTTCCCGAAAAAATGCAAGTAAACGTCATATATATTACCGTATCGAGAAGCAATAGAAAACAACAGAAACATAACTTCATATATGTATGTATTACATGTATAATGTATATATGTATATATATATATATATATTATATTACAGTAATGCTTTATATTTTAACATGATGCACACCGCGATGTGTCATCGAAGTTACTCTACTACAGCCACGAAATAAAGGTCACTCCTTCCTCTCCATAAAATCCATTCGGACATTGCTGATCGTCGGCGTGTCTCGCGAACAGACTGACCACCTTTTAAGCGGTCAGCGTTTCCGTGTTTTTCGATATCTCGTTGTTGAACTCCTCGACCGTCTCGCGACTCTCCGGTTCCGGCTCTGACCTCACCGACGGTTGTTCCGTGCTGCCTCCACCTTCGGTCTCGTTTTGTGGCTTCACGTCGATTATACGAACACGGAACACGGCACCACCGTTACTATCGTTCTTCGAGTATACTGTTTCGTTGATCGTCACCACATGGCCATTAATGATCTGCAATCAGATCATTTGTGAGAATCAGAAATTAGCATCAGGATTATTACAAATACTCATCTTAAAATTCTATAACTTTTCCCCCCAATTTCCAGACAAAATTTCATGATTTTCCCTGACTTTGCAGAATAATATTAAAATTTTTTTTGTATTTCCATTGTGATTTAAAAATCGTTAAATATTTTGTTAAGAGATCAATTTAATACAGCAGTGTAAATTATTATTACACTGTAAAAAATTAAAATGTTAATTTTCAACTTAAAAAATAGTGGACTTTCGGTGACATTTTTGTGTTAATTATAATATTTTTACATGTCTCAGAAAGTTCACTATATGTCTTTAATTTAAGTTAAAATTAACATTTTATTTTTTACAATGTAATTATTATTAATACTGTTTGTATTTTTAATTGTTAAATTGGCAATATTCCAAAATTGCGTAAATGTAATGTACGTGTATTAATCTTTTTTCAAGAATTGTAATTTTTCAGAAAATTTTGCAAAATTCCCTGACTTTTCCTTGATTTCCCTGACTGCTTTCAATTTTCTTGATAATTCCTTGTTTCTCTGATTTCTAGTTTTATGGTAACCATGTTATAATCCGAGATACGTCTTCGGTATTTCTTATCGAGATACAAAGTAGAGTGTGAATTAAGTTTAAAAGAAGAAATCCTAGTACTGGAAATTGAATTTCACAATTTGCGAATTTTTTCTCAATCTCCAAATGTAATCCGATTCGTTATAATGAAATTCTTCGGAAAGATAGCGTAATATGTACACATCACACGTGCTCCAGAAGGAACGAGTGCTGATTCAGACAGAGATGCAAACGGATTTATCGAACAATTTGCAGTTCTATAACTGACAAACGCATCGTCAAAATTAATTAAGCTCCATTATTGAAGAATTTGCAACGCTGCGTGGATTTAACTGCGTTTAGTGCATGACAGTGCGATACAATGCAGTTTACTCCGCTAACAAAGAGATATATGCTTCAGTATGAATTATTAGAATCGCTGTACGTAATTAAACTTTCTATACCTTTCTACGTGTGAAAGCGTAATAAGGAAAAAAATCTCTCCTTACAACATTTCTATATTTTACAAAATGCTAAATCACGTTTCAATTTCATATCATCACTCTTAATGCGTTCTTAACTTTTTTTTGCATTTGTAACTTTAATTCCTCGACGTTTGAACGGCAAGAGGTATTATTAATAAATGAGATTGATTCCCGATACTTTTTAATGAGATGAACTCGCGATTATAAATATCTTGATTATTGCAGATAATAATATGTTAGTGCGAAAAATTTATTTAAAAAAGAAAAGATCTCGTTCAGCTTCGTAGGAGAACGAGATCACAGGTCGGATCTATCACAAGAATTCTAAAGAATAATGTATATTACCTACTTTTCATTTAATATGCTTTACTTCATACAATTTATATAATATCTAAAATAATACATTATTCGATAAAAATTTTCAGTGATAATTCATGTAAGAAATGATGACATCATAATCAGATTTTAGCATAATTGCATGTATATCGTACTTAATGTTACTAATATAATATGATTCTTTAAAGCTTTCATGTAACAAAAAATTAAATATATTTATTTTTTCATTTTCTGAAATTTTTTGTTTCGGAACAACCTGATCGTCTTGACTCGACATGCAGGCTACACCGATCAAAAATATTTATTTATTTTCTTATATCGGTAAATAAAAATTTAGTACATTTAATAATTGTTTTAACAATTTTCTTTAAAACTGATTCTATATGACTTTCAACTAATCTGAATAAAACCCAATTTAACCCTAGAATAACATAAACCTTTCGAAAACTTCTGGAAACACACACTATGTATCTGAAAGATTCACTGTAACTTTGATAGGCTGTAACTTCAGTTCAGATTGATATTTTTAGACTCTTTTTTTTTTCATTTTAAAGCTCTGAGATTTAGAAATATACTTGTATAAACTTGTTGTAAACTTTTGTATGCCAAAAAGTTTTACATTGTTGAGTTATAAATAAAAATTCTTCGTTTTCTTTCATGTATGGAACAAGCAAAATTTCGATTGGGTCTGGGAGATCTATGTGTATGTTTTAGGCCTAGTTTCTCATGGTTAACTCTTAACGAGATTCAACTTTCCTTAGGCTGCTGTCGCAGACAAAGAAAATTTCTGTAACAGTAATCTTAAGACGTGAATTTAAGCTGATGAGCCAATCAGGATACTGCTTTAGATCTACGTACTTTAACGGAAATAGAAATAGCAGTAAACTTATCCATAAGGCGAGTTTCAACCAGTTGAAATTTATCTTATTGCAAGATTATGGATAAGTTCACTCTTATTTCCATTTCCGTTAAATTACGTAATCTAAAGCAGTATCCCGATTGGTTCATCGGTTTAAGTTTACACGCATATTGTTATGGAATTTTATGTGCTCTTAGTGCCGATAATGAAAGAGATAATGAATCCAAAGTCACTACCGTGTCTTTGGATTCATTATCTCTTTCCAATTCTAGCATTAGAAAGAGGTGAGGAATAAGTAAACCTCGGTTAAGAGTTAACCGTGAGTTGTGAAACTGGGCCGTAGGGTTAAGATATTAATACATTTTCTTAGATGATTTTACCACCCCATTTCCCTTATCTCAGAAAAGACTCTTTTCTTCTGTTCTCTTTTTTCTCCTGCGAATGATGACGTAGCGCCAGTGTCCAAGAAGTAGGATTCACGATCAAGCAGCGGACGAACTTTTCGGCGGGCAGTTGTCCACTTCCGTTAGTCGTGCTTCGTCGCAGCAAGTCGTATTACGCGTTAAGCGTAATACGACTTACATATCGGAGAGATCTGGCGGCGCGCAGATTCCGAGCGTGTAACAATACGCGACGCGAAATGCGGTAATCCGATCACCCTCCCCCCGTTGCCGTACACTTGGCGCTACCGCACTATTGTTAAAGGGATCCTCTCTACCTCCCGTCTTCCTATGTTCCACTGTCGTCATCTCGTTGTTGCAGTTTACACGTGTACGTAAATTGCTGGCGATGCATTATCTCCCCGCGACGCGTCCGGCCCGGACTGGCGCGACGCGGAGTTTCCTCTCCGATTATTTTACTCTGCTCTTGGCGGCTCTTGGCGGCTCTTGGCGAACGGTTGATTCGCTACTCGACGAACGGTTTCCGGGACCGAAATTCGGTCTGACGCGAGAATACACGAATCGAATAGGATTTTAAAAAGAAACTGTGATAATAATTCTATTGATTGATTACAGACTTTTGTGAATTACTGATTTGTAAATTGAATCTGTTGAGTATTTACCTTGACTGTGGATGTTGTGTTCGCTCCTTCGGGAGTGGAAAAGTTTGGTATTTCGGGGATATTCCGGAAGTAGTTTAAGAGAGTTTGCCTGAGTTGAGCCATAGCATCTGAAAAAAATCAAAAGCAGAAATCAGAAAGAGAATCGTTGTAAACATAAATTTTTAATAAATATTTGTTTGAATAACACTAAATGCTATAACTTAAAGTTAAATATTTACTAAATATAAACATATATTTATTTTTGATATAAGAATCATCAATTTGATTCAACTATCATTTTTTTAATAAGTATTTAGTAAATATTTATTGAAGTAAATATTAATTAGTACTATTTAAACACAAATATTTATTAAAATTGAATACGTGCTTCTCAGTGTAGTAATTTATACGTGTTCACATAATGTTTTTGTACAATTTTTAAATTGGCTGTTTGATTTTATTTGTAAATGTCAATAACAACAATCCAATAAAGTGTGCTTGATAATGGACAAATTTAAACGAATTTAAAGCAGGTATAAGCGCCGGTGATCGTTTAAAAAATATTTGTCACAAGCTTCTGGAGGTGACGTGCTTATTAGAATCGTCGGTCAACAAAATTGCGCTTTCATGATTTTCGATTTAGGAAATGAAGCATACAGTGACGGACCCATTGAGCCGAACGATGATCAATTTAAAGAAAAAAGTAAAGGGAAAATTTGTACAAATGGCTGTATTCAGCAGAATGTTGAATCATTTTTACAACTCCGTTGAAAGTTTTTTTCACACACATAGGACTATTCTTCTAGATCAAAAAGTATAATCCAATCGGCACAAAGCGCTTACTAAGCGCTTACTAAGCGCTTACTAAGCGCTAATTTCTGTTGAACACCACTATCTAATTTGCAGTGAAATTATCGTTAATCAATGTATATATAATGATTTTCAATTGATGTCTACATAATTTTTACTTCCAATATTTACTGTTTCATTTAATCTATTATATCTTTTTAAATCATCAGTGAATATATATATATATATTTTTTTCACTTAATTTAGTAGAATATATATATTAATACATAATTTTTTAAGCCCTATCTACATTAAAGATTGTCTTGAAGATAGCTGTGTCTAAAGCGGCGTCTACAATACAATTGATAACGCACGATGCTTGTTTTCTTGCTGGATTGCTAGCTAGAATAAATTCTTACCACTGTGGCTATGATGCTGATATTGTCAGTACCGCAGCTAATACGATGGCAAGATTTTAATCCATCTAGGAATCCAGCAAGAAAACAAGCCGAAGGCTTTAAATTTTAATGCTTAAAACTTAAGCCTGTTCTACAATGAGCTTTTTCTTTCCTGTTTCTTACCTTTTGTTATTTTTTACAGCTTATCTTTTTGCTTCTTATCCGGTTTTTTGTTTTATATTGCCTAAGATAAAAGTTAACGAACTTCAAAAGAAATAAGAAATACGTAGCAAAAAATACAAATGTTGATAAAACGGAGAAAAAAGCAAAAAGAAGAAACAAGAAGCAGGAAACAATGAGCACATTGTAGAATAGGCTTTAAGCTGTAAAAAATTGACCAATAGTCGATAGTTTTTCTCATATTCGACTATAATTGATTAATTTCTTATAGCTTATAAGGTTTAAAGTTTAAATTCTATGTCTTAAGATCTCATTATACATCGAACAACAAATGAAAAGACGTCTGTGTCTCTTTTCAAATCTTTCAGAAAAGAACCGTATACATCAAACCCAGTAGCAACAAACCAGTTGCTGAAATATTTCAAAATGTTTCTTGCTTACTGGGAAGAAACGGGCATTTCAGAAATGAACATGTAATAATCGAGTCTACTTGACGGCGCGTTTGCGCTCTTTTCTCTCCCTTTTCTCTCACCTATAATGTAAAATTATTCCTCCGAACGATCAGTAATTATTATATAATTATTACCATAATTTAAATAGCGAATGGAATTTAATCGCGTTATTAAAGATTATTAACAAATTCTTTGTATTTTTTTTTTAAATATCAACTCTGTTTATTCTTGTCTCTTTATCATCTCAGCCTTCCTGCTTAATTCGAATTTCTTTGAATAAATATTTATATGAGAGAATATTTACATGTCTACAGACTCGCATGTCATTATGCAATTCCCGCAAGTTTCGCGATAAGACGTCGTCCGTTACGTGTTATAAATAAAATGGTAGTTGATCCCACGACCCAGTTATTTTGTAAAATGTAATAATAATTTATACCATAGTCGGATAGCGTATATATGCGAGAAAACGGAGAGGACATCGACCATGCCGATAAATTTTGCATACTTTATTGCGCTTACAATGCGATTGCCGAAGTAAAATAGTCGACTATATCGGCCGATTATTGCTGTGTGGAATCTCAATGAGGACGCGCTGGGCCAGCATATTATTTGACAGTGGTTTCGTTTGCATACAGAAAAATTTGCAATACGCCAGCGAGGAAAAGAGAGAGAGAGAGAGAGAGAGAGAGAGAGAGAGAGAGAAATGACATCGGATATGCTGCTGAAATCGGCGCGTTACCGGCTTTTTGCATGCGATAATTTTAATTAGCTGGCAAAACGGCCTGTTATTGTTAAAAATAGCTCGTCCGTAATTTTCATTTATTTCAAAGTTCGGCGCGAGCCGAATACAAAGTGCACGATTTATCAAATGCGCTAAATCAGCGAAAGGAAATACAGCATCGATTTCGCAAGTTTAGCGAGCAACAAGTAATGGTTTTATCGTACGAATTGCGGGTTAAGTAATTTAGAGTAAAAATATTTAAAAACGTGCAAATTTCGACGATATTTTCATCAGGACAAAATTTAAAGTGCTGATTTAACGTTATGCTCATCTAATAACGATACGAATGAACGAATTTAAAATTGAATCTACGCTATTGGTTTTTTGTACAACATAAAATCATCGTGATCGTACCTTTTAATGGTGATTTAATAATCTCATAGGAACGAATTATCGTTCACATCGTCGCCGTGACGTGCTGCAAACTTCAATTACGCTTTAATTCTGATTTATCTTCTGTGAAATAAGATACGATGGCGCCTTATTGATAAAATATAAAACTAATTTATCAGTTTTTGATGATTTTAATATTTTGCGCATATATTTAGCATATAATAAGAATATAATTTATTTCATGGTTATGTCTTAGCATAATCGTGTTGAATGTGTATGGAAATTACCCTGAAATTATTGGTTATGAATTAAGAATAAAAGAAGTGGCAAGAATATAGATCTATTGAAGAGTAATTAGCTATAATTTTCAAGAGACTTCGCAGTAATATTTTTCAGAAGTATTTTCTAATTTGTTAAAGTTATAAGGGTGAATCGCCAAATGCGTAATGGTCGCGTAAAACCTCATATATATAAATATCTTACATTGATATTTAATCTAAGTAACATTCAGTAATAAAAATATGAAATAGGAAATGAGTAAAAAGTAGACAAAGATTTAATAAATTACGTCTTGTTTTATAGATATCAGCTGTTAGCAACATTTGAAAAAGTCAAACACATTAATTTTTGATCAATTTATACGACTAATAACATCATGCAATTTTATTATAATTTTGTATTTTTATAAATGAAAATTTATTGCATTTTACATTCGTTGCATATTTACAATTATTATAAAGCTTAAATCGATACTTTTAAAATCTATCAAGTTTCCTCTAAATCATACTACGATAAGACTGATAACTGACAATAAATAAAATCATAATAAAATTAATAATTGATGTAAATATAAATGCTAATTACAAAAATAAATTTAAGAACGTCGATTTACTTCGACATTCTTATCTTTCCATTATTGTTACTTAATAATTATTAAATACTTGATTTTTCTTTCGACAAATAATTAAAATTAGATATTAGTTAATAATTTCTTTTAATCTTATACTTTTAATTAGTTTCATTTATAAATTCAACACTTTCATAAAGGAGATACGATTTAGAAGACCTATGGATACAATTTAGGTAACCAATTGCCTTGTACTTTTTGCAGCATGTTACAAAAAGACTTTGGACAAATTAATTGGTTATTAATGAAAAGTTAAACATGTATATAATAAAAAAATGTCAAGTTGCAATTTCCAATGTTCATTTGCGTACAAATCGGCATCAAGTGGAAAATATATAATATAATGAAAAATAGCTTAAGTGATGCGCGCATTCGACAACTCTCCCCTACATCTCTTTTCTCCTCGCATAGAATTCCGCGTTAACAATGATACCATCGGCGATCGTATTAAATTTCAAATTATTCGTGACGCTAAAATAATAAACAGCTCGTGAAATGATCGGGAAATTGGCATCCGAAGGCATCCGCTCGCGCTCCCGGTCCCCCGGGCCCATTCCAGCCCGTTAGCCTCTCACGGCGCTGTGTCACGCGAATTTGAATAACGATTCATCGAGTCGCGCAATCAACGATTATACCGTAAATTGCTGTCCCATTCGGTGCCGGTGGTTGCTTTCAGTCCCCGGATTATAACGAATTATGTACCGGCGTGGCGCGGCGCAGCGACGGCATGGCCGATGAATCGGGACCGATTATCGTCTTTCTCATTTGCTTTTGGCAGCGCAACGTTAAAATCCTCTCAATGGTGAAAGTGATCTGATAAACTTTGCAGCTCTCGTGTGCCGACCTTGGAGGCCGTGCGCTGGAGGCAACCTTTGCTTTGTGATCGATATTCCGTCGGCTTCCAATCCCGCGCGTATTGCGAAAACGCTGCTTTTATCGTGCAAAGCGCACACTTCTTTCTTTTTCCATCGCACGTTACTTTGTTTTTATAATATCTTCATCTCGATTGCACCGGGAATTCTTGAACTCACGTGTCAACGTCTTTCTGATTCCGTGCAGTGACGAGTGCAGCCTCGTCAGCTCGCGCCGGTCGAATCTCCGCTCTCACTTCGGTCGATCGGACGCACGGTAATGTAATCAGAGCTTCTCAAGCCTGACGTCACAGCGACTTGAGCGTGTCGCGACTTGCAAATAGGCATACTACTGAAACTATTCGTTGCGGTTCGCATTCTGCACGAGTGCCCCTGTGGGATTTGATATATGAGATAGACGTAAAGGATCGCAT